GCCTCGGAAACAGCGTCAGTATGAATGTTCCAGTATAGCCAATCAACAGCTGGTCAAGAGAAATCCGCCGCCGTCTTCTGGTTGAACCGACCTTCGAATCTCTTCAGCCAACACTCTCACTCGAAATGGAAGTAAGCTCATCCAGTCTGTCAGGGAGCCGAGGGAGACCGTCAAGTGGACTACGCCAAGCTGAACTTCGCGGCAGCATGTGATAAATACAAATCATTTCTCGTATTGCGTTCAGTTTAATTTTTGAATCTCTTGACACCAAATGCAGGTAACCGCCAGAACCAAACTGATTTGTCGTCATCTTGCAACTTAATCGTGTTGTCAAGGCGACCTCGAAAAGAGCACATCTCGTCCACAATTGTGTGCCAAAGAAGTCATGGACTTGGTGCATTCACAAAAGTTTCGCGGGCATTGTCAGTGAGTCTTGCCAGTCTTGGCGCGGATGGTTATAAAAGGCCTATTCGTAGATTTTGTGTTGGGTGCATTCTTTCTAAAGAAAGGTCACATGCACCGATGGTATGTACCACCACGAGGCCGGCGATTGGTCGATACAGTTTCCCTTGAATCCCGGGCCCAAGTGTCGAGAATTTGGCGGCGACAACCACTTTTAATCTACAATTCACAGGCCAAGATAACCCAACGAAAATTGGCATTCAATAAATTACTCTTGCGTACTCCCTGTTGCCAAGAGGGATGAGAGCAAGCTGTCGAATCCGGTGAAAAGGAGCTAAGCATTGTTCTGCCACATTACGGAGATTGCCTCGGAAACAGCATCAGCATGAATGATTCAGTTAAGCTGGCTCTCAACAGGAATCCGCCATCCTCTGCTGGTGGAACCGACATTCGAATCTCTTCACGCAACACTTTCACTCGAAACGGAAGTAAACTCAACAATTCTAAAAGATTTGCCGGTCAATTTTATTGAGTCGTTTGCTTGAATTTGGTTGTAAAGATGATAGCTTGCTCTAAACAGGTTCAGTCTTCTGGTGGAACAGACCTTCTAATCTCTTCTCGCACCTCTTTCACTCGAAATGAAAATAAGCTCAACAATTCTAAAAGATTTGCCGGTCAATTTTATTGAGTCGTTTGCTTGAATTTGGTTGTA